TTTTTTTAGCTAACTGATGAGTGAACAAATTTTGCATTCCTTTATGCTTTGCAGTTTTGCATTCATTAGTTATTTTGGGTGACATGTTGTCAGATCAATAAGTGCTAAATATACTAAAACTATGCTGAGTCATCAGTACAAGAACAATAGTTTAGGAAGTTCTCACTGATGGAAAAGCTGGGCTGTGAAGTAGGTGATGTTTGCTGATGCACACGGGGATTAAAATGTGTACAGAAACGTCAAAGTTCATTTAAAAAGCAAGCGAGAGGAATTTAAACTTTTTTGGATGTTGTGCACTACAATATGTGTACATTTGTTTCCAACACTGTTCTTTGATTTAATTATTATTGCTGGTTTTGAAAGGCAGCTTAGTATTTTTTTTTTAAATGCCAACTGTTATCTGGAGCAGCCTTAAAGATAGCAGCAACTTAAACCTTGCATTGTTTCTACAGTAGAGGAAGTGGATCACATTTCTTTTTTTTTTTTTTCCTTTTGTTTTGTTCTAAAACTTCAGCTGTCGTGACAATTTCCACCCCCTCACCAAACGTCCAAGTTGGAAATCTGCCTACTCTTCTGAGATCAGACGGACATGAATCCGAGGCTGCATTGAAAAGCAAACAAAGCCACGGTTAGACCATGCAGCATTTCTGGAACCAAGATCTGAAATTTCGTTTTGTTTTTTCACTTCATTTGTTTTTTTTCTCTCATTTGTTCACTTCCACGAAATGTACTAAAGTTAGTGTTTAACTGCCAATAGATATGCATGATTGAACCCCAGAAGGAGAGCGAAGTGTTGTTTGCAGGATGATAAGAAATAAGTCCAAACTGTTTCCTGCTTTCACACATCGGCACCCACATAACTCACAATTGGTCTGAAATAAAACACTGGGCAAAGTTACAGAGAAGAATTTTTCTTTTCTTTTTTTTTTTTTTTTAACCATTAAAACGCGTTTATAAATTTAATAAATGATATATGGATATTTCAAAGATGTTCTGAATGTTTGATTGCCGAAATGCTTGGATCGATGATCATTTGTAGTTCGGATAAGTGGCTCGTGCCCTGCTTGGCTTTAAATGTCTGACATAACACTGCAATGTTGCTGACATTGATCAGCAGCGAGAGCGGCCGCTTCTCATTGGACCTGTTGGTTGTCGCTCAGCCATTGAGGCTGAGACAAAGTGACAATGCTGTGAAAACTGAGCGTCGCATTGTGCAGTGTGTAGGGGTGACCCATTGACTGGTCCATACGCGATACTATGGGGTGGCTTTGGATCGCTGTGGCAACGTGTGTGCTCGCGTCCTGCTCTGTCAAAGGTAAGTGCTAGAACAAGCAGGAGGGCAGCTCCCACGTGGGGCTGTGTGCCTATATTTATTGTAACAACAGCCTCTGAAACGGGGCCCTCCCTTTTATTATTTATTTTTTTAATCGATTGTTTGCGGTTTATATCAACCATCTGTTTATATAGATGTACACCAAGGACAAAGTCAAGACCAAAAACTTTTGAACTAGGGCTTATTTAGCTGATTAAAGATGAGCTTTATCAGTGGCTTATAAAGTGGTTTGAAAAGTTTCAGTTAATGATCCCTTTAAAGGAAATGACTGGTGGTTGGAGTATGAAGAGGGGATTCGGCACTACAGCAAGGAGGCCCTCAATAAGGTACTGTTTCACCTATGTTTATCACTGAGGGTTTATTTTGTTGTTAGACACAAAGTTTAAATTTTGGTTGTCATTTGAACAGCAAAAAGACTTGACAGATTTATTAAAAAGACAAAAAACATTAATATATAGCAATTTTTAACCTTTCTCTTAAAAGTAGGTTATCACCAGACTAACCACATGGCCCAGCAGGCATCCTGAACTTGTGCACAGCAAGCACAGCTAACGCATCAAAGACAGTGAAACAATGATCGATCAATAAAATTGAAGTCCGACAAGGTACTGAAGATGAGGTTTCCACTGTAGCAGTGAAAGTTATGTTCAAGTTTGCCTACTGTACTCTACAACAGAATCTTAATGCACAAACTCTGTGCTCTGCTGGATTAAATATTTTTTATATTTATTTTATTTAGAAAGAGGGACAATACATATTAATGAACATTTTAACAAATGTAAATATGCCCGATTATAGCTTTGGGCTAATTTCCATCTGCAGACCCTCTGGCAGGTTGGTGTTACACACAAGTTAGTCAAAACATACAGAGACACTATTTACAGATCATGTGACAAGGACAAAAACAGTGATCACATCATAATATAATATAAGCTTTCAGACGTGCTATGCTGTAAAACGTATTAAAGTACCACAATACCAATGCTCCCAAAAAAATTAAGGGAGCATTTGTCACACACAGTGATTGTAATGAATTAAATATTCACGATAAAGGTATAAAATCTTCATTGACATAGATTGTGTAACTTGTTAAATACAAAATGCTATTACCAACAGACATTGGAAACCTCAAGCATCTATCCTTTGAGGGCTGGATTCAAAATCGAACCAAAAATGAAAGTTCAAAACTGAAGTCAGGCTGATCCATCTGGCATCATAATGTGGTTTAGTAGTGTGCCTTTATGAACTCCCAACAACATCTAGGTATGCTCCTGATGAGAGACTTGATGGTCGTCAGCTGGGCATCACTGAGCTACTGGACAGTTGGCGGTGCTATTTGGCAGGAAGCACTGATGTCTCATAGGTTCTCAGTTAGATTCAGTCTCGGAAACATGAGGTACAGACAGTGGTATTAATGCCTTTGTCACCCAGGAACTGCCTACATGAACCAAGGGCCCAGTGCATGCACATGAGGTCCACAGGTAATCACCTTGGTTCCTTAAAGCAGTCAGGGTGTTGTTGGCTCTCACGTAGAGAGGCCTGTCTAAGGCCCCGCCTCCCCAGACTATAATTGACCCACTGCCAAACCCCTCATGCTTGATGATCTTGCAGGCAATATAACATTCACTGTCACATGGAGCAGGTGAAATTAGTTCACAATGGATTATGCTTCTTAACTGGACAAAGTGATATTACATGTTATACTATGATCATCCAGTGTTTCCTTAATTTTTTTAAGCAGTGCATTTATAAAGATCATTTAATGGTGAAAAGAGTCTCAGTCTACATGCCCTCATCCATGTACCCTAAATTCAGTTTCTTGTTTTTGTTCAACTAAGATGAGATATCAGCTTTGTCAACGCTCCATAATGCTGCGTGATGCTGTACTGACATGGCGGACCATTGCTAGCTAGCTAGCTACAGTATATTTAGCAATTACACATTAACGATGTTGAAATAAAAAACATTTCCATTGTGGTAGGCCGCATAAAATAACAGACTGCGGTCAGCAGATGCTGAGGAACATAGTCGCCATCTTTCTGCAGAGTCAATTGCTACAGACTTACAAACATCACGTGGCTTTCAGGTTAGCTCAAAAAACAATGTGTAGAGAGCTTCATGAAATTTGTTTCTATGGCTGAGCAGCTTTTTCCAATCCTTACATCAGCAATGCCGGATGCAAAGCATGCCACCACTGGATTCCAGAGTGGTGACGAATCCCTCTTCTCCTTTGGCAATCCAATGGACCAATCTGGGTTTGGCGGTTGCCAGGAGTCCTTGTATGACTGGACTGTGTCAAGTGTAAAGTTTGGTAGAGGGGGATTATGGTGTGGGGTTGTTTTTCAGGAGTTGCACTTGGCCCCTTAGCACCAGTGGAAGGAACTCTTAATGCTTCCACATCCCAAATTTGTGGGAACATTTTGTGTTTGACCCCTTCCTGTTCCAACATGACTGCTCATCAGTGCACAAAACAAGGTCCATAAAGACATGGATGAGCGAGTTTGGTGTGAAAGAACTTGACTGGCCTGACCTCAACCTAATAGAACACCTTTGGGATGAATTAGAGTGGAGACTGTGAGTCGGGTCTTCTCGTCTGACCTTACAAATGCACTTCTAAAAGAATGCTCAAAATTTACCATAAACACTCATAAACCTTGTGGAAAGCATTCCTACGAGAGCTGAAGCTGTTATAGCGTCAAAGTGTGGGCTGACGTCATATTAAACCCTATGGATTAGGAATGGGATGTCATGCAAGTTCATATGTGCATGAACGTGGATGAGCAAATACTTATGGCAATGTAATGTATCTAAAACGTTCTAATGCAATAAGATTTTTTGAAGATTTTAAAGTTGTTTTTTTTAAAGATTTTTGCTGTAAGTTTGCACATGAGCTTCCTATTTTCTCCACAAATGCATCAACATATACAGTATTAAACTCTGTTCACAAAGAACATTACGCAACTGTTTAAAACATTTATAGCAGTTTATTACGATGTAGGAAGACGCTCAAAAAAGAAGAAGAAAACATTTGTCAGTCCCTGAAGACAAACTTTAGTCATTACAAGGAAATAAGGATTCATAAGGAAACATAACTGGTCTCGATGTGACAGCGAGGCTTCTCTCTTTTTTACTTATTTAGGAGTTTCCAGAGAAAACCCGGCCAGTGAGCTTCAAGCATCCTGTGTTCCAGTGCTCAGACATGAGTCCTTCTCCCTCTGTCCCCTCCTCAGGTCTGTCCAGGTGTCACCTGCTGACCTCAAATCTTGTGTTGTTCAAGAGTTTGAACTAACGCTCTTTTTCTCTTTCTTTCCCTCTCTACCTTCCCTCTATGCACCCCTCCTTCCACCCTTTTGTCTAGTTGAATTTGTGAAGGCCGCAGATATCAAAGTCATCGCCGCCTTGGGGGATTCTCTGACAGTAGGTGTTATTTGTTGTTTGCTGCTTCCTCTGCTGTGCCGATGATACAGCGTAACGTCGACCGAAAATAGACTCGCTCTGACCGTTGATTAATTCATTTTGCATACTTGCTTAGTCCTGCTGAGCAGAAGGCACCTGCAATCGTGAGAAGAGCTAAAACGCTTACAGTGATGGATAAAGACTGAGTGCAAATGAGATGGAAATAAACTTTAAACTGCATTACTAACCAAATGTTGCACCAACGGAAGAGCATTTAGCTTAGTTATGATCTCTTTTTGTGCTTTTATGAGAACGGCACATCTTCATAATCTAAGAGAAGATGCCCAAATTGCAGCTGGTTAATGGGGATGTGTTATCATCGCCTCTATATTTTTATTCTTGGACTCTTTGTGTATCGTTGCATGACTCACAGTTTATAATAGTTCTCATCCCGAGACTTGATTCGGCAGCGTTGCACGTATACGGCAGAAAATTTGGAAAGGCATAATAGGATCCGTTTAAATTAGAGTGACAAACCACCCACACAAACACTTACTCATAAAACTGCTTTTCTTCTCTTCCTTGGCTCCTGATCTCTCTGTGCCGTGCCCCTTCTTTTCCAGACGGCTATCGGTGCCAACGCCACTACTGTCCTCGGCATTCCCATTGAGTTTCGTCACGTGTCATGGAGGTGCCTGTCACAAATCTCACACAAATAACAATCAGGATGATGTGAAGCAGACTGATCTCATATCAGGAACATGTTAGAAACTGTATTCCCCCATGAGAGCGTCAGTCTGTAAGAAACAAGGTTAAACTGACATTAACAGTTCTGCTGCTGGTGTTGCTTTCCTTTCTGCTTGCAGCATTGGAGGCTATGGGACATATCAAGATGTCATTACTTTGGCAAGTAAGCTGTCACTGCAGTGTCCGAGCTGTTTCTTAACTGTATCGTTCCATGAAACTCACAACGAGAAAAGTCCAGCTCATTTTCTTTACCTGTTTGACGCTGTCATTTTTAGATATCATCAAGCTGTTTAACCCCAATCTGCTTGGAGCTTCTCCTGGAAAGACAGTTCATGGGATGGAGGCTCATATCAGTGAAACGGGCTTCAACTTGGCCGTAACTGGACACAACACCTTGTAAGACCTTCGCTTATTTTTGTGTTGCCTAATCTAACAGATTATATTCTTCTACAAAAATAACTGAGCTGTGACCTAATTCACTTTAGGAAACATGTTATTCTTTATTTTGTAGCAATCTCCCCGGTCAGACGAGACATTTGATAGACACACTGAGAGGTTACGAGGTAAAGCGAGGCCTTGCTTTCTCAGTAACGATACAGCACAGGGATGGGAGAGGTAACGGGACTGTCGTCTCTTCCTTTAGGATCTTGACTTTGAAGAGGACTGGAAGCTTTTGACTATTCTCATGGGCATGAATGACATCTGTGATTACTGCAAAGATAAAGTCTGTCTTGGTCTCTTATCTTTAATTCAATAGAAAATCTCTCTCTATATATGGAATATTGCCTCTTCTATTAACTCTGATGAATCTCCGCTCCTTCCAGGCTCTTTTTTCAGTAGATAACTTCATCCACTATATGACCGTCTCGTTGGAAATGCTTATGAATGAGGTAAAGTCGAAGATAAACGAAATCAGGCTTAGCCCTGGATTTACTGTCTGCTGAGACTGAGGGCTCAGTGCTGTGCTGAATCACCACAGTGCAGGTCTTCATGCTGTGCTTCAGGTTCCCCGTATGATTGTGAACGTGGTTCAGATCCTCCCCATGCAGACTTTGAGGGAGGTGCAGAAGCCCACCCCAGGGTGTTTGCTCCAGCGGTGATCATTCTCTTTGTCTCTCAGAACAAGTTCAACTCTGGCTTGATTGACACTTCTTGAACTTTTTACTTTTTGACTTTGATTTAGGTCTTTCTGCTCGTGCCTGATAGAGCCAGTAGCCAGATCTCCTGAACTCCGGGAGCTGGTGGAGGTCAATCTGGAATTCCAGGTGCACTTTACTTCTTTCATGTTATAAGATTATGTATTATGTAAGGAAAGATGGTACAGGAGATAAATTCTTCTTTCATTTGGTTGCCACGTTAGAAGGAATATTGACTCTTTTTTGATCCCTCTATGCATCATAAACAAAATCCCATGTTTTTTAGGAACAACGTGTTCGTTCTGTACAGCAGACTCTGAATGTTAGGCTGCACAAACAAGCTCGTCTGTAAAACACCTGCAGAATCTTGAACTGCACACTGTTGTATGTAAGAGCCAGAGATGGGCAGTAACGCGTTACTGTAATCTGATTACTTTTTAAAGTAACGAGTAAAGTAAGGGATTACTA